CCATTTACCACTGGTGAAGATTAGAAACATTTCAAGTGTCATTGAAATGCAGAATTTGTGTTGAAGATAGCATCCGGAGGCTTATATTTAATAATGGCGAAAATATCTGTGGTACTAGCCTCGGTAACGCTGAAATAAAGATTTTTAAAAGACATCATTTATTTTATCAGTCACATTTTTATTATTTTTTGGATTAAAATTAACTATTTTAATTTTTTTTCACTTTTTCCACCAAAAATTAGATTGATGTGACCCTGCATCATACATTTGATAATACCAATATTCCGAAGAAAAAATAATAATTGGTCAAAATTTCGTTGTAAGTTAAGGTCATGCTTTGCCCGCAAATAACTATTTCGTTTAAATAATATATTTCAGGGACCGTATTTATTAAAGGTTACGTAAATTACACAGGCCGACAAAATTTAATTTAAGAAAATCACAATTTTTCTTCGTCTGTTGGGATATATCTTCAAGAGTGGTCAATCAATGTTGGTAACCTTTTCGGAAATATATAGTTACATGTCTCCTTTATGCGGTCATTTTAAAAACATAAGAGAAGGTGGGCGCATTCAAAATTTTAAAGTCACAGCTTAGTTTAAAAATATTCGTTTGTGAACACCGTTTAAAAATTAAATAAAAACTGTTTCTTCTACAATGCATTTTCGACCCAAAGATACCTTATGTCCTTAATTTTAAAAATACTCATCAAATTTTTGTGAATAGTTTTGGAATTTTTAAAATTGTTTTTCTTACTTCCTTCCCAGTGACGGTTAACAAACTTTGCCAAAACTTTAACAAAACGTTTGGGGTAAGCCAGGCCTAAGTAAAATTTAAGCTGTGACACTCGTGTACCATTTTTACCAAAAAGTTTTTACCCACTTTTTTCAAAATTCCATAAAAAATTAATAACGGGCTTAATATATTTGATAAAATGCTAAAACATAGGTCATTAAACGTTTAACATATATTAAAAAAATCATATTAATTTGACAGTCAGTAAAAAGTTATTGTTTTTTTCGCGAAATAACCCATTTTGTGTAAGTTGGGACACTTTAAGGGCCGTTTTCTCATCTGTACTTTAATTTGCCTGCCGGGACATCGGAGCAATAAATTTTTCAAATTTGAGCGGGTGGATTTGAGCGCAAGTGCTACCAGACATTCGAGCGCTGTCAATCTGGTTCCACTCTTCATTCGAAAACAGCTAATTCAATTTACAGTTAAATATAAATAAATATTTCGAACATTACAGTGATGAAGAATTTGTTAAAAGGTTTCGCTTGTGTAAAAGCACGGCGCTATTTGTTTTGCAAAAAATTCTTTTGCGACTTGAATCTAAAGTAAAAAAAATTAGTTCATTTATTTGGCTTAACTAATTCAATATAATCAAAAACCATTAATACAGGGAAACGACAATGCAGCCATGGGTTAAGCTTCTAATAGCTCTTAGATTCTACGCAAGCGGCAGTTTTCTTATAACTGTTGGCGATTTTTGTGGTGTTTGAATCAGGGACCGTAAATAATCATTATTAATTTTTTATACCCTTGTAGAGGGTATTATAATTTCAGTCAGATGTTTGCAACGCAGTGAAGGAGACGTTTCCGACCACATAAAGTATATATATTCTTGATCAGCACCAATAGCCGAGTCTATCTAGCCATGTCCGTCTGTCCGTCTGTCCGTTTCTATGCGAACTAGTCTCTCAGTTTTAAAGCTATCGCGATGAAACTTTCCCGAAGGTCTTCTTTCTATTGCAGGTAGTACATATGTCGGAGCCAGCCGGATCGGACCTCTATATCTTAAGGCTCCCAAACAAATATAAGAAAATTAATTGTAACTTTGTAGGAAGTAGGCGTTTTGATTCTTGACTACTTAAAAACAAAATTGAAATAAATCGAAACGCTGAATCTGGAATCCCTGGAACTGCACCGAGTGAGTATTCTTTTATCTACAAGGGTATATAAGCTTCGGCTGGCAGAAGGTAGCTTCCTTTCTTGTTTTTTAATAAAAAAATCATGGTCAAAGAACAATCCTAGAAAAAAAATAACTATACCAGTACACTTTTTAAGTACCATAGTTTCAATATCCGGTTTAATTTTTATTTTTCCAATTTTTATTTAAAACTCGAAGGATAATCGTTATTTTTTGAGTTTTTTATAAAACTCTAAAAGTAATGATTATTTTTTGAGTTTTATTTCAACTCTAGAAATAATGATTATTTTTTGAGTATTATTTTCCGCTTGACAAATAACGCTTACTTTTTGATTTTTATTTTCTGATTGAAAAATAAAACTCATTCCTTGAGTTTTATTTTTTGATCAGAAAATAAAACTCGAAGTCTAATTTCTTTGAATTCAAGAGGTTAGGCTGTGAAAGTGGTTAGCAAATATACTAAGTAGACCACGGCCAACAAATTAAGGATATTTTTAAGTTTGTACAATTACCGGGAACCGCCAAAAACAAAGACAAAGTACTCGTCTTAAGCAAGTAGAGCAAAACATTAAGTAACGCTGCAGTCGTGTGCCAAATTAAAATGGGCATCTAAGAGCGATCCTAGCGGTCGGTAGTGACACCGCAGACCATGCAAGGCATCTAAACATGGTTACTTAAAGAAATCTAATATTCTTCCTAATGCCAACACACAAAAAGAAGCTAAGGTGATTCACTGTTCTTAAATGTTTCTAAAGAATTCGCGGTTTGTATTCTTATATGATAAAGAATCTTAGGTGTTGCCGATAAACTCTTAAATCCAGAGAGGAACACAAACATAAACAAAAAATCGCAAATTTTTAAATAGATGATGGCCATGTAGCTAAATACTGGTAAAATGGCGTCACCAAAGACACTTTATTATATGATATAAAAAGCGCAAATTCTGTAAAAGATCATCTTTTTTTCAACAACATGGATTACACTGTGCAGCATTTTTAGTGTTTTTTAAATTTACCTAAACTGCGTTTTCCGAAAAGTTCCCCGACGCAAGGATTCTTAGCAAAAGGACCTCAAAGTTCGAAAAATGCTGAAATTGGCCAACTTTCCAGAAATCTCAGAGGCAAACGGATGCATAGTTTGATTCGATGTATAAGTTTTTTAAAAGATACACTCTTTATCTTTCGAACTCCATACTTAGAATAATTTTTTTAAGGCAGAAACAAATTCTAGAAAACATAGTCAAAAAACATAAAAGTATACAGCTGCGGTCAAAATAGTAGTAGTGTTGCCGCCCTGGTTATTTTAAAGTTTGTTGTTGTAATTGATCTTTTCCTGGTAATATTGTATTGATTATAATTTTACTATTAGACTAATTGGATAAAAAAAGTTACAACATCAAACTTTTAAAAACACAGGGCGGCAACACTACTACTATTTTGACCGCAGCTGTATGTTTTTAAGTTTTTTGACTATGTTTTCTGGAATTTATTTCTGCCTTAAAAATAAATCCTAAAATTATTAAATTATTAATTATATTTTCAAAAGTAGATGATGTCTATAATCTTACCACCCTGGGTCAATCATTCTTAAAGTTTGCCACCTTTCTGCTTTTCGAACGCATAACACCTGATTTGGCTTCATTATATGTAAGTTTTAGGCAGAGAATTTATTCTTGGTTTTTGGCGGTTTCCGGTTATTGTATAAAATTAAAAGTGCCCTTAATGTGTTGGCCGTGGTCTACTTAGTACATTTGCTAACCGCTTTTAAAGCCAAACCTCTTAAATTCAATGAAATTGGACTTCGAGTTTTATTTTCTGATCAAAAAATAAAACTCAAGGAATAAGTTTTATTTTTCAATCAGAAAATAAAAATCAAAAAGTAAGCGTTATTTGTCAAGCGGAAAATAATACTCAAAAAATAATCATTATTTCTAGAGTTGAAATACAACTCAAAAAATAATCATTACTTTTAGAGTTTTACAAAAAACTCAAAAAATAACGATTATTTTTGGATTAATAAATAAACTCAAAAAATAATCATTAAAGATTGAGTTTTTGGATAAAACTTATAATCATTACGGTCCCTGGTTTGAATGGCCACAGCCAGTTGAGTTGTTAAGGAAGTTTCTTTTGCTATAGCGTCTTTTTCAAAACAATTTATGAAGTACCCGCGTATTAAAGACCTTCAAGAAAGTCATAGGAGTCATAGATTGTACGCATGTAAGATTTCAATTCCCGGAGGCGATTTCGAAGACACCGGTTCTACAAGAATTGTCTCCTGCTCATCGGTATAATTTTTACCGCGAAACTTTTTTTCTGCCGAAATTGTTTTTTTATTAGTTAGAAATTTAGCTTATATCATCAGCTGTTAGAATGAGTGTTTAATGGTATTTTTCGATAGTTATTCGACTAATTTTTGACTATTAGTCAGCCGTCGGGTACACAGGGGGACTAACGGGGGACTCGTTCCCTGCCGTAACTGTGTATAGCGATGGTAGTGCGACTATACTCTCCCCGTGAGGTCGGCTGAAAGCAAGTCCATAGTCTAGCTATGACTATGGATGCTGACGAATCGTAGTCGGGCGTACCTGGGTAGGTCTTTAAAGAACCTACCCTCAAGTCAGGCGAGTCAAGCGTCCCGGCCCACTGACTTTCAGGTTCGCAACTGAGGGGTAAATCCAGCTTTGTTTTAACGGAGCAAGAACAATGAAATTTAACACCGTAGCTTCGGACCTCACGGGGAATGTTAAACCCCAAACCGTTTCCGCTACCATCGAGGAAGGGCCGCGAACACCCAGCCAGAGTTCTCCGGCACTGATGGGAACCGAATGAGCCGCTAAGACCAGCACCCCTCTAGACACCAAGAACATCAACCCACACAATAGCGGAACCCAGCCGGGTACCACCAAGGCAGCTACTGCTACGCATCAGCAGCGCAAGGCCAAGGTCAGTCGGGCTCGTTTCACTGCGCATCCAAACGGGCAAAGGACGCTAAGGGGAGGCCAAGACCGACCTCCTTTGTAAAGAAGGCCAAGAAGTTCAGCGACGTAGCCAGAGACAGCCTCGCGATGGCTCTGGTGGACGGCCTGCACGACGACGGACGCCTCCTGTCGGAGAAGTGGGAGGAGATCGAGATCAAGGTGGCCGATATGATAGCTGAAAGGTTATCAGCCGTGCCAAATGGTCCGATCCCCTCCTTCGAATCGTCGGACATGGTCAGGGGGCACCGGGTGATCAAGTGCGATGACTCGTTCTCAGGGTTCTTCCTGGCGGAATGCATAGCCAAAATTGGAAATTCATGGGACGGCCTTAGTATTAGGCTCGTCCACGCCAGGGAGATTCCAAGGAGGCCGCGGGCTCGCATTTGGTTGCCAAAGGAGCAGACTGACCAAGGAAAAGTGCTGTCGCTGCTGAGGGCTCTGAACCCTGAAGTGCACACAGAGGACTGGGCGATACTCGAAGTAGAGAAGGAGATGACAACGAGCCAGCCGTTCCTCTTCCTCAGCTTGAGAAGGCAGACTACACCATCCGGTACGGCCTACGGAAGGCCATGATCAAGGTCGTCCTGGCAGAGCCGGATGATGTTCTCGAGGAGGTCGATGACACCAACAAGCTGTTGGATGACCTGGTCATCGACGACAAGACCCTAGACGTAACACCCAACACCTATGCCTAAAGTCGTGCAGATTAAACTGAAGCACAGCGCGCATGCTTCAGCCAATCTTGCAGTCCTCAGTGAGAGGAACATTGACATAGGCATTGTTCAAGAACCATGGACTCGAGACAGACAAATCTCGGGTCTAACACAACAAGGATATACACTCTTTTATACTAACTCGACAGGTAGGCCGAGAGCAGTATAACAAACATTCTAAACAATGCATATAAGGAAACATGCAAGGTTTCATACTCTAAGAAACAACACCCTTTATGGTGGACCAAAGAGCTTTGCACTCTGAGAAAGAGGGCAAGAAAAGCCTATAACTCCAGCTATGCTACCAAGGAATGGGAGCCATACAAAGAAGCACAAAAAGCATACAAAAAAGTGATATACGCAGCCAAGAAGGACTCTTGGAGGACTTACTGCGAATCGCTCGAAGGTATAAAAGACTCGGCTAGACTAAGCAAGGTCCTTGCTAAAGGGTATAACAGCCCAACTCTATTACACAAACAAGACGGATCAGCGACTACAACAGTGGCAGAATCCCTAGAGACACTAGTGTGCTTCAAGCAACACAGGACAGCATCAGTAGGTGGCTGCAAGCCATTTACACGGCTTGCATCAGACTAACACACATATCGCTTCTATGGAAGGAAGCCAAAGTTGTATATATACCAAAACAAGGAAGAAGAGGTCATATCCTAGCAAAGGATTACAGGCCGATCAGCCTTACCTCCTTCCTAATGAAAACGCTGGAACGAATGATCGATATTCATATCCGGGAAAACACCGATCAGCATGCGTACCGAAAGGGCAGATCGACAGAAACGGCATTACACGAAGTAGTCTGCCACATAGAAAAATCGCTACATTTTAACCAATATACAATGGCCACCTTCTTAGATATAGAAGGTGCGTTCAATAATGTAAACGCCGAATCCATACTGAGCTCCCTCAACTAGATCGGCATTGAAGGAGACATCAGAGCTTGGATCGGAGTTATGCTCACGAGCAGGACGATAAGAGCCGAACTGAGTGGCACTTACCTCACACGCTTTGTGAAGAGAGGCACACCCAAGGGCGGGGTTCTATCCCCACTGCTCTGGCTTATGAACATGAACGACATATTAGAAGAGCTCATCAGGACCAGATGTTATTAGTAACATAATGACGGGGCCCTTACCCGACTCAATGAATGAGCAAAAACCTGCGGACTAGGTATAAACCCGAGTAAAACCGAACTAATGCTCTTCACGCGAAGAACAAAGATCCCAACATACAGTAAACCAAAAATAGGTGGAATCGAACTCGAGCTATCGAGTAAAGCTAAGTACCTAGGAGTATTACTAGACCCGAAGCTCTCGTGGAAACAGAACATCACAGAACGGGTAAAAAAGGCCAGTATAGCATTCTACTCGTGCAGGAAAATGTTTGGCAAAAACTGAGGTATACACCCTAAGATAATATTATGGCTTTATACAGCAGTGGTAAGGCCAATGCTCACATACGGGGCACTTGTCTGGTGGCCAGCCCTGACAAGAGCATACAATATTACCAAGCTGACAAAAATACAGAGATCAGCTTACGCAGGAGCTACAGGGGCATTACGATCATGCCCGGCTGCCGCGTTGACCACTATTCTCAATATAATGCCTATAGAACTTTTCATAAAGGATACGGCAGCGCAGAGTGCGACCAGACTGAAGGCAAGTGAATGCTGAAAGGCGGTAGCCTTTCAGGGTACTGCCGTATCTTAGAGGACAGCAACTATCTGGCAAAGAACGGATTATATGACGGCGGAGATAAGATTTGGAAACGGATTCACGACTATCTTTCCAACGAGGGAAGACTGGGAGAATGACAGAGTAACCGGACAAGATGAGGTATAACTCTACACTGACGGCTCCAAGGTGGACTATAGTGTAGGGGCTGGAATTTACTCTGAAAGCTGGGGGATAGAATCGAAATTCCACCTTCCAGAATCAAAGACAGTTTTTCAGGCTGAGGTACTTGCTATTTTAGAAGCAGCCAAGCTTTCGATTCAGCAATGCCTCAGGAATACCAAGGTAAGGAAATACTCTGATAGCCAAGCGGCTATCAAATCTATCGCAGGAGCAAGAACCAACTCGACACTAATAGCCGATTATAAGTCGGCCTTAACATACTAGCAATAAGCAACCATGTACAGATAACATGGGTGCCAGGCCACAATGATATACCAGGAAACGGAAAGGCGGATGAACTTCCACGAATGGGGTCGGCAGACGACTCCTATACAACTAGTCTACCTGAATCCCTAAATACAGTCCAAGCAAGGATTCACGAACAATACAAAATACAAGCCAGTAAAAGTTCGTCGGAAAAGCAAGGTCTCATGAGATCAAAGCTCTGCTGGCCAACCGTCTATAGCAAGAGAACTCGAGAGCTAATATCCAAAAGTAAAAGGGATATTAGAAGGATCACGGCACTCATTACAGGCCATTGGGCCATTGGCACGCAAGCCATGAAGATGGGGCTTCCGTACAACGCAACAGACACACAGGAGACACCTGAGCACATGTCACCCAGCACTTAACCACATTAGGGCGAGATACTTCGGGGCGTATCAGCTGGAATCATTGGGAGAATTAGGAAAACAGAGGATAACTGCAATCCTAGGTTTTCTAAATGACGCAGGCTGGTACTGAAGAGAACGCGGACACAACCATTTATGAGGGTTTGGATCAAAACGGAGCTCAGCTCTACAAGGATGTCATCAGAGTACCTCACCACTTCTACCTACGTAGGTAGGTAACAACAATTACTTAACTTTTTTGTTCTGGGGTTGCCACCTAGCCTCAATTATCAATCAAAACCATTATTACACTTAGATTCTATGCAAGCGGCAGTTTTCTTACAACTGTAGGCGATTTTGGTAATGTTAGCGTAACCACAGCCAGTCGAGTTGTAAAGGACGTTTCTTTTGGTATAGCGTCTTTACCAGAACAATTTATTAAGCTCCGCGTTTTGAAGATCTTTATGTCAATTTTGTTGATTTTTATAAAATAGCCAAGTTTTTGAAAGTCAAAGGAGCCATACATAGATTGTACGCATGTAAGAACTCAATCTCCCGGAGGCGATTCCGAAGACACCAGTTCTACAAGAATTGTCTCCTGTTCATCGGTATAATTTTTACCACTAAACTTTTTTTCTGCCGACATTGTTTCTTTATTAGTTAGAAATTTTGTTTATATCATCAGCTGTTAGTATGAGTGTTTAATGCTTTTTTTCGATAGTTATTCGATTAATTTTTGACAATTAGTTAACTCTTCTGTTGTAGGGTTGCCACCTAGTCCCAAATTAGTGCGCCTTCTATTTGGAGTTTTAAATGACGGACGAGAAAACGAAAACCGATTTACCGCCTGGACAAATGTATACTTCCATGAGCTAAATCATACTTTGCAGGACGGACGAGAAACGGCCATAAATAAAAAATTATTTTTTAGTTTTCCTTGAGGAAATAAATATTTTTTATTGTTTTTTTTTAAAGCTAATAGACTAACCTTTGAATTTTGATTCGTAAAGTTATATAAGTGAATGTCGAAATGGAAGATCAAAAACAAAAGGTGTACCAACCTACAGACCTCCCCCCTATATTAGGCATTTTTCGCCGCTTCGATTTCATGTTAAGTGTTATCAATACTAAAAAACGCGAATTTTTATTTTTTTTTTATATTTTAGAAAATTTTGGTTGTTAGTTTGAAATAAAATTGCCACAGAATCTTATTCAAAATCCGTAAGTAAAATAAATTACAATCATCAATAATTATTATGATTTTAATTGACTTCCTTCGGCTACCGAATGTTAGCCACAAGAATAACGAAGTAGAACGAAAGGTCTACTCGGCCCGACTACTAACCGGCTACCGACTTCTCTGATCACCGGGCAGTTGCAGATAAGATGTTCCAGGGTTTCGATAGCCCCCGATTCATCACATTTCCTGCAGGTGCGGCTGTTGAGTATTCCGAGTGTGGTTGCGTGTGATGCGGTCAGACAATGGCCCGTAAGGATTCCTACTAACAGTCTGCAGTCTTTCCGTGGTAGACTCAGTACATACTGGCTGAGTTTGTCGTTGCGCTCTTTGCACATAGTTCTTGAGATTCGGCAAGTCTTGGTAATCCTCCACCTTCTTTTTGCTCGCATATCCGCCTGTTTCTCCAGGGCGCTTTGTAGCCTTCGGAGGGAAACAGGTACGTTTTCCGTTCTGTCGTTCGTCAGCTCTACGCCATCCTTTGCAAGAACGTCAGCTGTCTCGTTGCCATCGATGCCCTTGTGACTGGAAACCTGACTTTGTCGTGCAAAGGTTGTTTAATGCCTCGCTGCTCGCCATTACATTTTTTGAACTGACTGTTGACGACTGCATGGATCTTATCGCCGCTTGGCTGTCCACGAACACGTTGACCACATCGTGTGGTCGGCTTATATTTTGAGCCACTTCAGCAGCTTTCCTTAATGCGAAGACTTCCGCCTGGAATATGCTGTAGTCGTTGGGTAGCTTAAAATACACCCTTATTTCAGGGTCCGTAAAGCATAAGCCCGCTCCTACTCCTCCTTCCATCTTGGAGCCGTTCGTGTATATATTGAGTAGAGCCCCGCATGAGTGGAGTCATAGGGCCCTTTGACTCACATTTTCAAAAAAGGTTCGAGTAGCTCATGTCGGAAAATTTGTTGGATCTGATTGGCTCAGCTCATGGCCTGGCTAACGTGATCCACTTGATCTGATCTACAACCTCATGATTCCAATAGCTCATGACTCCCTCTGAGTCATGACTCAGGTCAAAAAAATCTCTCTGTTAATCACAATATAAAAGGGTATATTGTACACACAAAAAAAAAAACTTCGTAAAATCAAC